TTTTCAGTACCGTGTCGATGGCTGGCAATATTCTACGGAGGGTGGTTCCCGTGTCGCGAAGATCGATTCGAGAAATTGAAAACGATCGAACCGCGCGAGGAAAAGGGGATGAAAAGCGAGCTAGCAAGTGTCTTCTCCCTTTGGAAGATTCCCAAACGGGTCGAACGACTTTTCGGATTCGAATTTAAACCGCGCAACATAAAATTCCTGCTCTACCGTTGTTGTTCTCCCTCGTGAAAGATGAAACTGCGTACAATTTAGGGGAGAGTTGGCAAAGTCCTACTCTATTCCCGAGATACATAAATGTCGCGCTGAGTGTTTCGTGTTTGAGTAAGGATCATTCCGAGCTCTATCGTTGAATTTTTAGCAAATCCCGGATAATAAAATAAAAGGCTATGGGTTTGGGTCAACGAATTTTAAAATAATGGACGTCGGCTCCCTTTGGTTTTTCACCCTTCTGTTATGACGTCGCTGCAGTCCAACGATCAGAAATACGGCGAGCAGCGAAATGGAATTCTTGCCACCATTTCTATTCGCATTCTTTCGCCGGTCGTAGGAAGCTGAAGAATCACGAGCTGTTCTGGAAATGGGTTACGAGAACGCGTCGTTGCACAACGAACTTCCGTGCTTTTCGATCGGTGAATACTTTCGCGAAATGTTTTATACATGCTGACCCAGAAATCGCGGCGTTGAATTTCGAGCTACCGCATAGAAACATTTCACAGTAATTACAGATAGATATCGCGCGCCCGTGTGTGTGTATTTTTTTATCAGTCACACCCTCGCTCTAGCGCAACGTTCGTTATCTCGGAGAAAGTTTCACCCTTAATCGCGAATTCTGTCAAACGGACTCGGCTTTCCTTGAATCGAACGTCCCAGAGTTGAGACACGGAGTAGCCTAGATAACCCCGATGACGAGTTCTGTCACACCACCCCCAACGAAACACATCCTTCCTTCCCTTCCGACCTACTTCCCTACCATAAACTTTCATCTCGTATGCATTGCTTGCGAACAGATTACACGTCTATAGCTAGAGATGGGTATCGTGCTTGCAATAATTATATAAGATTACCAACTAATCCAATACTTCCAATCCTTTGATTAAATTTTCAACGTCGCTCTCGACTACGTCGTTATAGACAATATCCCTATTTCCCCTGTCATTCTCTATGAAAACTGCCGAATATGTCATTCATTTTTTATCCTCAACGGGATCGTGAATTCCCCGAATATTTCAACAGTCTTGCGTTACAGCTGTGCTCGACACGCGATAAATCAACGTTAAGTTGAAAGTCCTCGAATCTACACGGTCTCTCCATTTCATTTTGCTACTGTCTCTCAAAAATGTCTGCTCTCTTGCATACTTTCCAAGTTAATTTTTCACCAGTGATTTTTACCGAGAGAGTAAGAAGAGAGCAACTGCTTCAAAACATACCGCTGAATTTTCTAGATCATATTTTATCCTTCGCATTCTTTTGAAATATTTATCTCTGCCCTCGGTATGATTTAATTATCTGTCGGTTGAAAGAAGTATTTAGCTTTCAGGATGATTGATCCTCTCGAGCATGCTTCTCTTCCACTGCGATTCTACTGGGAAATGTCCACAACTGGGTCACTTACCAGCTGCAAACCACGCGTTGCAACTAACTTAGTATATTAAATTAACGTGGGACTTCAATTAATTAGTCACCTTAAAGGATAATCCGTTTTCGCACGCGCCCAACCAACCACCTTACATAGCGGTTCCTCTGCACTTAATTGCTTTCGAAATTACCACCACGTCGACGTAGATTTGAATCAATTTTACGATGTACGAACACGAATTGAAATTGGCAGAAAGTGAATTTCATTTTTAAAATTTTATTAGAGAACGATCCTTTGTACCTTTAATCGTTGTGTGTATACACCTTTGAAACCGGGGTGTATTCGAGTGTTTACAAAGTAAGGTTCACGTATTTGCGGTGTTGATACGAGCGTCAAAGAGAAATTGAAACGCCGAGCGTAAACCACATTAGTCCCGTATGACTCATCAGTGAAGTTGTAATACCGACTTTGCGTTGTTGAATAAACCTAATTCTGGTCATCAAATATTGAAGATTTTGAATTAAAAATGAACACGATGGTAACGCGAGAGGATCGTTGTTGACTCTGTTCCCGTGTTTCAAACGAAGAGAAATCCGAAAAATGATGCAAATACTCCGATAACGTGTTTCTAAATATCAATCGAGCCTGGTACCATTAATTGTAAGGGCTATTCACGAAATTTTGCCAACATCAACGAGGATAGCTCGGGCGGAAATGAATCCGGAAAACGGTGCACAGAGGGAACGTACGCGAAACGACAAAGTACAAAGTCGCGAAGTGAAAGGGTTGTGAATTATTACCTTGCGCAAGGAAGTTTCACGGAACGTAAATTCGTCGTTTTGTCGGTTCCGCAGTGGCTCGACGGAGTAAAATGAAATAGCCCCTGGTCTGTAAACTATGCGTTCACGTTTCCCGACAAATGCATCGGGCTAACAGAACTAGAAACGTCATCGTATTCGTTATGTCGTACGCAACGGGCGAGAGATAACCAGCGGATATTGCAATCGTGATACGCGATACCCGAGCACGCAGCAAATGTAACTTCAACTTTCGGATAAGCGCGTTTACCTAGCCCTGGCCAATATGAACGTTCAGTTTGCTTTGGAAACCGAGAACCCACTATCCTGTAACAGGCTTTACGTTACTAACAAGCAAACCTATGGCAAACTCGCCAATTTCGACGAAACTTTACAGGAACGTGTATTAGAACAATTTCTTCGGACCATAGAAATTCTTAGAAATCCAACGTTTGTGTTCGGGTTACAATTGAAAACCATCAAATCCCTTGTCTATATCGCGTATTTCTATTACACCAAAAATTGTGTTCACAATTAAATTTATAAAAAATACCAAACTGATGAAACAGATAATGTAAGCTTTACCTACACCTTGATGTCGCTAATAACCTTGTAGTAATAACAAATAAATAATAATAATTATTGCAAAATCTGCGGATCGAATAGCGAGCTTTGTTAAACAATAGACGACCAGGAGGGCATTCATGGAAACGGCACACGTGTGAACGATATGTCTTTGTCTTTTTTTTTTTTCGAACCATAGCATAGTAATACATATGTATCGCAGGCTGTTATCAACCCCCGACATTTGCAAAGTTTCCAGGAGGATCATTGTTTCCTCCAATACGTTTATATCTGATCGCGTCCAGGCCACGCCCGTACATACACTCGTCGCTAACGTAACTTTCCGCTTGCTGATTTTCCTCGCACGCCTTTTCCGTCGCGTTTTCAACGCGGTTCCCATCGTTGCACCCGACGAGGCTCGCGAAAATTCCGTGTCGCGGGAATCGCTGGTGCGCGGACAAAGTGTTTCGTGCACGGCAACGCAACGTTTCCAGACTACTTCAAAAAAAAAAAAAAGAAAAAAGGAACTGCTCCTGAATTTTTTTTTAATTACATTTACCCGGCGTCCACTGAAACGTCGCGCTTGAAATTACACCGCCACGAAACCACTCTACCGATTTTCTATTCTTTTTCAGTTGTCCGTTCCAGGAACGATGAGTTAGAAACTTTATGAAATTACCGGCTACGCTATGCAATACCTTTATGGAAGGTTCGTCCGACCATCTGACGGTGTATCGTGATACAAAGCAATTTCTTTTTCCGTACGCTCATATTTTTTTTTTTCTCTTCTGATGTAGGAATAATATCGTTGTTGCGTATCGGGTTTTAGCGAAATTTAATAACATCAAAGCGAGACCTTTGTGTAATCAAACGCGTTGCCAAACGATGTTTGCAGGATTTCCGAATACACGCAGGAATCGTCAGTTTGAAATCAAACAATAATAGTTAAAAGACTTCAATATCGATAGCTATCGCGAATTTTTCAAACAAACCAATACATTAAAAGCTTTCACATGCACGGACAGCAGGTATCCACTCTTCAATCGCTTGTATCTCAAAAATGATACCGCAGATTGCAAAATGGTATACAATTTTTTTCGATTTATTCTGGCAGGGGAATCTGGAATTTTCAGATTTCCCCTTATAAAATGCGGCAAATGATTCACGAATATACATTTCCGCGCTGAATTGCATTACCGTAACAATAGGTTTATTCACGCACTTGAATTGCATACATTTGCGCGTAAAATTTATATTCGCCTGCGATTATTCGTTGCGTATCGATAATTCAAAAGTTGTACATCGTACATTAACAACCGTTAATTGTATCGAAATTGTGTCCTTAGACTGGAATGGTAAATCAATCGTCAGGGAAATTGGTAAAATAAACATAGAACGGTGACGATCGATCATTACTTAATTAGTACGGGCAATTGGAAATTTTAGGAAAGCGTATTCTCGATGAAACGTATGGAAATCAATGTGAAGTGGTCCGATTAATCAATGGATATCGTGACAATTACTTTCGCAAGAATTAACGGGACGATAAAGCCTTACTCTAATGAAAGCAGGTAGTCAACAGCCTACCCATCGATAGTTGACCGAATGGAACAGAGATTCTAATTAACGAGGCCCGAATGCGAACGTTTTACTCTCAATAAATCGCGACCACGGACAGCTCGAATAAACAGACCTATGCATGGAGAAGAATCAATGACAAAAAGTAATTGAAGGACGAGTACATACACGACAAGAGGATTTTATTTCTTTTGTTCTGCGATAAATTACATGACCCGGTAATTATTCACCGTATTTACGTGTTATCTTCGACCTAAATCTGGATAATAAAAAATTGAAAATGATTTTCTTGTCAGTTTTGAACGAAAATATATATTGGTAAGTAATATTAACTCGATGAGCTCTTACGTCATCTTCCGCCATCTTGTCAAACAGTCAGTATTCGGCATCGGAGTCAATGAATAAGAACGCAGTTTCTTATCGCGACGTGTATAAACGTTTCAAAGTATGTATACATAACTTGTAAATCGACTTACCGTGCAGAAGCAACGAGAAGAAGAAAATGCAGATCATCTTGGCCAAGACAGGAACACAGAAGCCACTTAAATCGACGTTGTGACGTAAATTCATCTGCGGCGTGTCAAAACAGCGTCAACCCGGTTGGAGCGATGCACTTCTTCTGAGAACAGTAACAAAAAGAAAGGTCAGACTTTTATTTTCTTTTAACTTTATAGTATTCGACGAGTACAATACGGAAATAATAGTTTTAAGACGAATAAAATACTATTTTAAAAGTTATACTCACTTAAAACACTTAAACGTTTGAGCACGTGCACTAACGCGACGCCATATTGGCTTTATCCATAACTCAACCAATCACAAGCGTTCCCGGCCGGTGGGAGTACGTAGGTCGCGGTCATTTTAGCGGGAAACTCAAGTGCTGATATTTATTCAAAAAACGAACAACTTCATCAATTTTAATAATTTCGAATTTTTTATTCCATGATGGAAATATTAATGTGGCCTATCTTAACCTAATTATCGATAGAAGTGAACATAGTACTCTATTAAAAAAATGCGAAAATTTTATGCCCCCGAAGTATATTATAAATTATTCAATTCCTGCACTCGTAATCTGGATATGACATTGAAAAATTTCAAAAATTATTTTATCGTATTTCTCACCGGAGAATAATAACGCTGCTTTCCAGGAACACATTTTGGAGTGACGCGTGTAATTAGGCTCACGTGTGTTAATGAATTCATTTAAATAATCGAAATTAAATACCAAATAATCGAAACTAATCACGAGCTTGTCAGTACGTTGTTTTCTGTTTACAAGTTGCAACAATATGTACGACAATAATATTTGTAATACAGTTTGTAACCCGAATTATCGAAACACGAAACAACGGGACAGCAATTTCGCGATGTTTACAGTTTTGATTATCTATTCGTAGATTTATTACCGGCCTGTTATTACGTGCTAATAATCAGCCTGTTATACAACCGAGCTGACATCGTTCGAGCTTCTGCGAAGCTGGCGTGTGCACGCAAATTGAAATCAATCCGAAATATAACTCTATCGCCGGCACGATAATCGCTAGAGAGGGTGGCAGAGTTAAACGCGAACGCGTGAAAATTGTTTACCTCGGTTTTCGTGTGTCCAAGCGTCGTTTGATGTTTGCCGCCATCGAAAATTTATTCTTTCCGATAGGGAAATTGGCACACGCGTTACGCTCCTAAACTCCCGTGAATTTTTCATCGAAAAAACGCACACTTTTACGAAAATTACACTATATACATATATAAACACTCGCGTGTTCGTAATGTTCAAACGCACAGCCGTGGCGTGTTGTGCTTCCTTCGAACGTTCTCGGACGACTGAGAGCCTAATCGAATTCTACATGACTCATAACAACATAACTAGCACGATTGGAATGCGTGATTTCGTCAATACACCCTGTTTGCTCCTGTTACTCGTCTTCGTTGAAAATATATTTTATTAAAGTTTTATTAAAGCTTTTCGAGTATAAAAGCCACGACTGAATGCATGTGAAAACGAGTGCAATCTGAGAAAAGCTTATATTCCATATTTTCAAAGTATGTGAAAACGAAACTGACGATTTTATTTTTTTTTTTGAAAGATAAAATGTTTAAAAAAGATTGTACTTCATGTTTTTAGTTGATTTTCATGTTCAAACCGTACTAGAACGGTGAGCCACGTTGTTCCATATTCCGGTAGCTTCTATCGTGGAAAACGTACCGTTGTTGTGGATGCGGTCCGTGTCGGTCGTTGTTGACTCGCTGTCACCAATAAAGCGCCTCTATTGCGTCCACGTCGAGACCACGTGTTCCTTTCTTCTTTGATGCATTTTCCTGTCAATGTTTCTCGGATCGCCACGCAACTCGTTCAATTTCACCGAGAAAAAATTCATTCTCCCACGACTTCAATAAATTTTCACCGCTTCGAAACGATCACGCTCCATTTTGAGCTTTCAGTTATCGTTATGTTCATTGAATTTTCTTTCTCTTTGCTTTTACAATGGATCACTTGGCGAACAGGCTACGCGTGTAATGTTTTACAGCGAGACGAGTCTTTGAACGAACACAGTGGAACGAATCAATGAAAAGGTAGTTGAGAACATGGGAGATCGATGATTTTACAATTCCAATTTGAAATCCCTATAAAAATTGTACTTTTCTACGCAAGGATATTACGGTACTAGGAATAGAATACTGTTTTCCTATTTTTAGTAGAATTCGGTTTTTATTGCACGTGAAAAGCGTTGTTCATTGACACGTTGACTACCACAGTAAATTCGGCCATGGCTGGTAGGACATACCCGCAATATAGATTACTAACGCGCTAGCTGCCACAGAGGATATTGGTATACGTGTTTCAATTTCATCTTTCATTTTATTACTCCCTAACATTGATAATTTAACTGAATTTGTGGTATCGGTAACATTTAACGTGTTAATGAAATTTTTACTTTCATACCTCTCACCACCATGAAAATTAACATAGCAAATACCGGTGATCTAAGGTATAATAAAATGAATATATTCATACGAAAGCGTGGCACCGAATTATCCATAAATCACTGAAACTCAATTATTTCTCACGGTGCTTCATAAGACTATTGAGGGAAACTCTTTGAAATCACTCACTTCGAAAGCTGCAACAACTTTGAAAGGAGGCAGCTACTCTTTTCTCGACCAGCTTTTCCTCGATTCGCTCCACGCAAGAGAGAGAACGAAACTCTACTTCGAAATCGAATTTCCACGTGACAGGCCGGCGCGGCGCACCCAGCCCACCAAAACACGGCACATCCGACTCGCGATCAACCTGCTCGTCCCTGCTTCCGTTTCCCTCGAGAGTGCCACTCATTCGTCATTCGACACGGACACACTTGGTCGCGTGGACGCGTGTGTCGCATGGTCCCGGTCTACAGACTGAAATGGATGGAACCGAGCACCAAGAGTGAGAAAGAAAGAGAGAACGAGAGAGAGAGAGAGAGAGAGAGAGAGAGAGAGATTGTGACGAACAAGAAGGGAGAGAAGTAAGTAGGCCTCGGTGAGAAGGAAAGAAAGAGGAAGCGACAAAAGGGGTTGGTAAGATGGATAGGTAGATAAGTATATGGTCGAAGAGGGGTTGAAAAAGAGAGAAAGGAAGAAAGCTGGCCTAGAGAGAGCTGCGTAAAGAGAGCGGTGAGCGAAATGCTGCCGTGCTGGAGACCACGATCCAACTGCGCCCGCGCTTAGCCAGATATCAACCCCCAACCACCCCCGTCTCCACGTCAACTCTTACCACCTCCGCTCCACGCCGCTCCGCTCCGACTATGTTCGGCACTGCCAGCGGTGCCAACACTACTCCTAACGCTATTCGATAGCTGTTGCATTATTATTGCGATCATCGACGCCCCCTCCTCCATTATCAGCTACATCGTATCCGTTGCCTGTTACGTCCGATAACTTGATTGCTTGTTACGATGACACTTGCACGCCTCTAACGATTGATAGTCGATGCTTCGATAGACGTATAGTTCATGAGATTGCACTTTTACGTATCGAAAGAAAGAGGTCATGCTTAGGATCCATCCTTGCAGAGCTTCTCGGTTTTACAATATTTTTCCGGATTCTTTTGACTTCGTAAAATTTCCCGATGTTTTACTATATTTTTCAGGATTCTTTCGACTTCGTAAAATTCCCCGATGTTTTACAACATTTCTCAGGATTCTTTTAACTTCATCAGTACTTGCAACAATTTCCTGCATTTTGTAACATTCTTACGGCTTTGTCAACGTTCCCGCAAGCTCCTAAAAGCAGTTCCCATTCGCCAGAGTCGTAAAATTTATTTTTCTCTGCTAAATCGATGCAGGATTCTGTGGAAAGTAGTCTTTCTTCTTATTAATATTCCACAGCGACGAAAAGTATGACTTTATTAGCATGGTTTCGCGGTATTCAGGTATTTATTACAGTGTAGTTTTGAGGTAGTTGAACGTCATAATAATTCTCGCTGCGTTCCTTTCCACGTGTACGAAAAGTAGGCTATCTCTTTAATAATTCCTTAAAACGGTCCTCATTACTTTGCGATGACCTCGTTTAACCATAAAGAGATATTTCATAGTTTCCTTCCTCGCGCTCTTATTCGCATACATTTTCAGAAAACGTAACTCTGCGCCAGGGTGTATATTCTACTTCAAATGATCTCTCTTCTGGAAGTTAACGCTTCAGTTTCACGTTGTTAACCATTTTTTTTTCAATGCTTTCGTTTCGACGAAACTCTTCAGTGTGATAATCGCGTATAATAACGCGATACGTAATAATTATCGCAAGCTTTTGTGGAGAACGAACGATTTTCTGCGGTGACAAGAGAATTAAAGGAAAGTTAACGAAATCAGGGACAGTTGGAAAAGCTTATGAAGTTGTCAGAAAATTCTCTCTTCCATTGAATCAGCTCAGTGGCCGCTTATTCGAAACTTGCTCCCCAAAAAGACCAAGTTTCGGCTTTTATTCTCCAAATATTATACGCAATTCGTCCGCGAAACTTTGCCGTTCAGTTAGCCGCGCTGAAGCGTGCCGTAACGCGGCCGTTAAGCGAAGCGTTTATCGAATTAAGCTCGATCGTTTTTCAGCTACGAGACTGTATAATGATCTCGTTCATCACACACATTTAATGAAGCGGCTGGATTGCTCGATTAAAATGTTATCCGTTTATCTCGAGGGAAAAAGTTGATACTAATGCGAAACATTTTGAAGCCGTTCTTTTCCTCGTTCTTGTTTGCCCGTAAATAAACGATTCGTGACAATTAATTACCAGGTTATTCCGTAAATTTTTAGAAACCCTGAATGTAAGCTGAAAGTCTTGGGTTCGTAGTCTGTTACCTTATCCACTTCAACACCGCAAGCTCGTTGTCATCCCTACCCTTGACGATCCCTCCTATCAAACACAGGGGTTCCGATCTCAGGCTGCAAATGTCGTTAACCGATACTGGAAGCAGCCGAAACTTCCTATTTGTCCGTACACTAGCTACACCAACTATGTTAAACTTATTACGATGCAACGTAAACGTTAAGTACGCAGGCACGAAGCCACGTTCCGGTGTGGCGCAATATACTAAATTGTTTGCGAACTCGTGTAACGTAACGTTTGCATAACAACGT